TTTGTAAAAATCAATTCTAAACCAGGCACTTACCGTATAGTCAAAAAAATTACTTCTCTAATCGGAAGGCCTCAAATTAGAATGCAACTACGATTTTTGCAGATGAATTCCATGCAGATCTACATATCAACGGTATAAGTCGGCAATCACATAACTCGGTTTGCAACGTTGCAGACTTCCTGTCATACTTTATTTTTTTAACGGAAAACTACTCACCGGTAATTCTTTAAAAGTGCCGTGATTTTTCTTCTCTGTGATAGGAAAATTCTGCAAAATATTCAAGGCATGATGTCAATTTGTTCTGCTTTAGGAAAATAACATGGAGGCGGAGATTTTCAGACACTGCAAACGAGTTATGTGATTGCCGACTTTCACCGTCGATATGTATCTCATCTTCTTTAAAGAGAACCAAGACCTTGACAACAAGTTGTTTCCAAATAGCTACCTATGCGAGTCGATAATTCTAAAAGACTGATTAAAAGTATCAATTTTCTAAGCTCCTTTGCATTCCATTAGCTGAACCTAGTGCCTTTTTCCTAGAAAGTCACCGTGCAAAAGCTCCCCCTATATTTCCCTGATGCCTTGTGGGGGTAAATAGATTATGTATTTGAAAGATACCACAGTTTAAGGAGTCAAGTGTTGCTTTTATATTTTGAGGGAAGCGTAATTAATTCAAAAGAATTTTTTCAAACGTGTGGCTCAAATAAACTTTTAACTTTTAAGACTGCAACTGAGCACTTGCATTCAATTACTTCACTTTGTATGCCTGCAGATGAGTCTAACTCTAAATGACTGCTACACTGCAGACAAGCTCCTTTGTCTATAGTATGCGCCCTTTTTCAATATTTCGTAAAAATTATTACAACTAAAAAATATTCAAAGCATTTTTTCTCTCAATCAACATCATTTATGTCGGTTGTTATGACTGTTACAAAAGACAAAAGTTTAGAAAGTCCTAAAAAGTGGTCACAAAAGTACGCAGGTGTATAAGTAATCGTATAATTTAGGCTGAATCTGTCTTAAAATCGTTAGTGTGAGATTTTAATTTCACTAAATTGATATTCCTCAATAAGAAATTTCTGTCACCAGTGATTTTAAAGTGGAACCAGTTAGAAATGTAAATACAAAAACAAACAGAAAAAAATAGAGAGAAAACGCCTTCAATTTGACGCAACCCTGCGTTGCACAAAAGCAGCGATAATTGGATTGCATTTTGGAAGAAGGAACCACTAGTATTGCAATGTTGCTAAGATTGTGCAACTTCTTTTGTCTTGGAGGAAAAACCCGATTATCCAATAATAGTTTCTATTTTACTCGCTAAAAACTGTAAATTTAAGACAAAAATTACCATCTAAATTTCATAGTTTTTCACGATCTGCAATTTTATTGCAGAAGATGAAGTTGCACAATCTTAGCATCATTGCAATGCTAGTGGTTCCTTTTTGCAAAATGCAATCCAATTGACGTGTCCAACTGAAGCCATTTACAGGAGTTCAGGGATCGCTTTGTGATGGTAAAATTTAGAAATCTACACTGTGAGATCGTGGATGACGTTATTATTTCCTGAAAACATTGGTAATCATTTTTTGGTAGATTTAAATCAAATATCTGATGAAAAATGAAGTGATATCCCACAAAAAAAACCCTTGGGAGGGTGCCATTTGGACGGCAATGAACTAGAGAACTTGACCGTCCCGATTTTACAGATAAACATACATGATATAAGAAATCGGGACGGCAATTAATTCTAGGGGTTGTCTCATACTGGCCAGCCGTTTTTCTTCCCCTCAGAGGTTGCTCCATCCATGTAGAGTGATACCATCAGATCGGAACAGCAAATCAATGAAGCTTGGAAAAATAGGAAAAAATAAAAAAATTGCCGTCGTGCTGAAGAAATTTTTGATAAATTACTTTAGCATTGGGTACCATTCCTATGATGGGCACCTATTGGGATCTACTTTTGATTTAGCAGAAGTCAAAATAATTAGGTACTTAAAGTTGATAAAATTGCAGAAGTTGCTCCTTTTCTGTGGCATGACGGCAATTTTTTTATACCATTCCTATGATGGGCACCTATTGGGATCTACTTTTGATCTAGCAGAAGTCAAAATAATTACTTAAAGTTGATAAAATTGCAGAAGTTGCTCCTTTTCTGCTGCATGACGGCAATTTTTTTATTTTTTCCTATTTTTCCAAGCTTCATTGATTAGCTGTTCCGATCTGATGATATCACTTTAATGTCATAGCAAAAACCAGAGCAACTTCTGAGGGGAAGAAAAACGGCTCGACCACCAGCATGAGACAAACTCTAGAATTAATTGCCGTCCGGATCTCTTATAGGTATCATGTATGATTATCTGCAAAATCGGGACGGTTAAGTCCTCTAGTTTATTGCCGTCCAAATGGCACCCTCCCAAGGGTTTTTTGTGGGATAGTATCATACGAGATTGAAGGCACCTCAACGCACCATGCTCGATGGCTTCTTTCAAAAGCACGATGTTCCCTCGCAAATTAAATCAAGTGACGACAACAAACAGGGAGGGGTAGTCGAAAAACTTACCAAGTCCCGGTATCCGTATTCAGTAACGTTTCGCATGATTTTTGAACTTCAGTAGAGGAAAAAGTGACTTGATTCAAGCAGAATTATGCTCAAATTTACCGCCGAGAAGATTGTCTTATGAATCAATGAAGAAAATAATGCTTCTATAAAGAAGAAAAGATGCTTTTACAAAAAGTAAAGTCACATCAAGCAGAAAGCCGCTTTTATTCAACTATTTTATTCTTGATTCAAAATAAACTCTTCTTGACGGTAGCTTGACGTTATCATATTTTCATCCATGCCCACAGACCTGACAGGGATGCTTGGCGCATTACGCAATGCGGGAAGTATCTCTGGTAGGTTTGTAGGCGCCGCGTAATGCGGGAAGTATCTCTGTTAGGTTTGTAGGCGCCGCGCCAGTGCGCGTTTCGCGCTGGGAGCACACCGCTCCACTGTGTTAGGCTCTAATATTTAAACTTGCGGAGTCAGCGGTTTTCATCTCATGATTTTGAAACGTTTGCAGGCTCTGCATGGATTATTCTCATTTAAATTGATGTAAAAAAATGTATTAAAGGAAAATATAATGTGTGTTTTGTAAATCTTAAGGTGGCTCCGCGTCAATCTTAAAGATTTCCAAAGCACTTTAATTTTTTCTTTTATATTTAGTGCTTTCACTGTGCTACAGCAAGGTGTACCTGCGCGAAACCAAACGCTCAAAATTGGACGTATTTTGCTTTAAAAGATCAATGTACTAATGGGTCAAAACCAAAAATTGCGTGCTTCTTGGTCTTTTCTCTCTTTTATTAATTTTTGTGTAGGTAGTTTCTTTCAACACAACTACAACTCATTGAGATCAATATCAATGCCATCGCTTGGAGAAAGTTTTATAAATATTTGCCACGTTTTAAAAATGTAATTGTTTTTAAAATAAAGTGATAGTTTTATTTAAAAAAAAAGTATTTATAAGGTATATTTTATATTGAAAATTTTAAGGACAGAAATAAAACCAAATATTCACCAATGACAATTTGAAAAGATGAATCAAAGGAAGAAAATAGGTAACATTTCATTTAAAAAATGAGTTTCCATAACAACACCTCGTTCTCTCTCAATTTTTTCAGTATAATTTTACATATGGACTAAAATATAACGCTTGGACAAGTCACTGTTTCTTATTTTACGTATGGACGTAAACAACTGGACAAAACAGGTATGCGGACAAAAAATTCGTTGACGGAATGTCCTGAAACCGTTTCACTTGAAATTACTAATATCTCAATTTTTTCAAAAACTGCACTTATGCGCCTTGTCCTCCAAGCCTCTCAACTTGACTCAATTCAACTTTTTTCTAAAGAGCTGAAGTCATTATTCCAAGTTGTAACTCAGAAACCATGAGTATGTTGATCCTTTAAGTACAAAATATTCTAAAAGGGCTTAAAATTAGGGGAAAAGTAACCCTGGGGGTTTTCATGATAACAGGAATACTGACATGCTAAGGAAAAACGCCGTATGAGCCTTCAGGCGTTGCCAGATTTCCTTAAAAAAATCACTATTTTCCAGGAAAATTTTTTAATATTTTTCTCCCAATTTCTCAGATCATTTTGTTTGGGATTTGATCTACTTAAAGTGTCTGAAAATTTCAAGGAAAAGTTTTCATAACTTTTCTCAAAAACAAACATTTTATCTGAGGACATTTGGCAACTCCCGAATGTTCATGCGGCGTTCTTCCTTAGCAGGGCAGAATAGTTCGAATGTGCAACATTTTAAATTTTAAAGGATGCACATTTTTGCCAAACTTCATTATTTTTATGAAACTTCCTTTCTCCACCTTTGACACAAAACATTTTCACCTAGATCCAGCTAACAATTTTTAACAAACAAGACACATCCAAATCTCCACTTTTCCACTTGGCGGTCCCATCAAGTACAGGGCACTATCAGATTGTGTCGGAAATGTAACTGACAGAGCGTAACAGACACTCTAAAATGAGGTGCATGAAGATCAAAGCACATCAGTGCAGTTTTTGCTTTTTCAAAAAAAAAAACGTGTTTGAAGTTAAATGGAGCCTCGAGGCGAAAAGAAAGTTTAAACTCCCTTTTTAATGTATAAAAATGTATTTCATATTTTTATTTGTGTATTTCAAGACTAGTGTCAGCTGAAATCTCTAATAACTCAATTTGTTCAAAACCTCCACTTCTGCGCCCTGTCCTTGAAGCCCCTTGTATGGGTAATAAAAGATACAAGAAAAGAAGAAAATGAGTAATCCTCATCGTTCTAGTCACACAACTGCTTCAGAGATTTCCTCCCAATTGAAATCTATTAAACTGAGAATTCAGGTGGCTGAGAAATTAGTGCACATCAAATTAACTGGTTTCCTTCCAGAATAAAATTTAACTTTTAATAAATTCAACTTACTAAGAAACTTTAGGTGAAAGGAGGTAGTAGAAAAAAATCAAGCAGTTACTTTTGGCTTATTTAATATCGAAATAAATTAATATGGTACAAAATAAATAATCACCTTATTTGACAAAACAATTTTGTTAAAAGTTTCAATTCAGCATCTGATCGAACTTTTACGTTATGTTACTTAAATTAAGCAACTGTATTCAACAGTTAGGGTACGGCTTTGAAAATTGAAGACAGTTGCAACGTAATTCAGTAGAATAAATTGACTATCTATGATTCTAAGTATTCACAAATTTTCAGTAAAAACTAATTTCAATGATTCTATAACGCGATGAAAGCATCATTCATTTTTCTCACTAAATTTAAAATTTACAACACATTTTACAATCTTGCGAAAAGTAGTTCAAATCAAAAACTCAATTTTGAGTTTTGGTGGACTTGGGTCCTTTATGCGGCCTAAATTATAAAACTCTTCGGTCGAAATACGAGGTTTTGTCTTATACCTACAATACATTGTTTTTTATTCAAATTAATGTTTCCATGACCTAAGGGAAGTTACTTGCACTTAGAAAAGTTCGACAACGCACAGACTTTTAAGAGTGTTTAGGAAGAGATGTATCCTAGACTAATTTTTAGGAAGTTCAATAAATAAAATATAAAAATTTGTTTGAGCAAAATCGGATGATTCTATATTTACACAAGATGACGTAGGAATACAGTATAGAAACATTTTCTATGTACAACATTGTTGTTTCAACATTTGTACATCTAAACAACATAAACATATCTACATCTTCAATGAATTTGGATTGACCTTCACTTCAGCATAGTCATCACTTCCAATAAAATACTGAACCTATGAGAGAATTTTCAGAAATAGTAAATTAGAGCTATTATTAGAAAATTTTTGGGACTTACATAGTAAGTCTGTTCATAAATGATAGTTTTTTTGGTTTTTCTGCAGATGAACAAAGCAATCATTATCGCAAAATAGTTGCGAATACTTGCAATCATAAGTCCTACTTACACAAAAACACATCTTAAACTACAGGCATAAAATTTTTTTCTGTAAGCCCAACCTAAAAAAATTTTATGCTGGAGTGTTTTAAAGGTATTTCCTACTTCTTAAAAGATTGTATCTTCTAGTTGAATGAGAAATATACATTAAAATGTCTCAAAATATACAAAAGTTAAGAGGAATTTTAGATTTTTGCATTCACCAAAGACTAAAATATCACAATGAATACGTAATATTAGTTAAGTCAGGTGGAATAATGGCTAAAATCCTGAACTTAATAGATTTTAACTGGAGTCAAAATATTTATATACATGGTCAAAGTACAAAAAAAAGTAGTAACTCAAAACATACATTTTAGTCCGAAAAAACAACTTGTAGATTAATTATATTGATGACTGAACTTAAATCTTGGCATTCATTTGACTTCTGTCAACAAGTTTTCAAATTTAAGTTCTTTACACTCCGAGTAATAACGCACATAATTATTATGTATGTTAACCGGACAACATTTTGCAAGTAGAAACTACAATTTTGGGCCCAGGTTAGTAACAACGTATGTATCATTAGTTTCTCTATGCACATAAGTTTTTTCATGGATGAGCAAAAAATTGTAGTTCCTAATTGCAAAATTAAGTCCAACTGCATGGTGGTTAGGACAGGACAGGGTAAGAAGTTAAGCACTACAACAAGTCTTTTTCATCAAAATTTTATGTAGGATGCGTTGAACGTATTGAAAACTTTCAAATTTGATTCATACAGGAGAAATATTTAAATGTTTATATAAATTCGAAACAGTTAATTCAACCTTCTCCCTCACCAAACAAACCGTGATCAATATAGGTCTAATTAGGCATTGAAATCAATCAATTTGTTGGCAATCAATCAACATTTGGCAAAGAACGAAATCTTGATTTCACACACAATCAATTAATCTTCTGATACAATGCATCTTCGATTTTGTCCAAAAAATTGGTACACTGGAAAATTCTTCTTCTGTAAAATAGGCTGAGATTACTTCAGAGCTTGATTTGACTCGAATAGATTCTGGTTTGTCTCAGAATGGGAAAAGTGAATTAAAGTAGGCAAAACGCCTAACTTATGAGATGAATTTAGAAAGTTTTAATGCATCCATCATACTTTAAATAAAATTTTGATGAGGAACATAAAGTGCGATTCCTGATTTTGTACCCTATCTAGTGATCCATTGATGAGTCTATAAATCTATTTACAGGGAACACAGTTTACAGGGAACGCAGTTTTCTTCTATTTCCTCGACCTTACAATTTAAACAAAAACTAGAACTTTAAATTGGACATAAAAATACAATCGACACGTGGTGAAAAAGTAGAGAATTAAAAAATAAAATGATGATCGGAGAAATCACGAGCAAAAGTTATCACTTATTTACTAGGACTGATTGTTTCTTGAAAATGAAACAGTAAAAAGTATTCGATTGAAGGAGACCTAACCAACAGTGATTGATTTGAGATGTCACTGAGAACTTGCACAGCAGGACAAAATATATGATGAATAGAGAGAAATTAAGGCATGGTGAGGAACTGAATAATTGAAATTCATTGTAGATCGTTGTTTCAACTACGAATCAATAACCCATAGCATATTGAGCCCTGATCGACCAAGATTTATGCGGCCGAGCATCCCGTGCTCTTTGACTTTGACGTGCAATAAAAATAAGAGAACAGTATGGAAAAAGTTATTGCGCCCTTTGGACACTTCATATTTGTCACTTCCGACACAGAACTGAAAATTTGGAGGATGGATTGAATCTTGATAAATGAAGAAACTGTCTTTCATCTTGTTGTCAACCTTGCTTGGGGTCTGAACAAAATAAGTGGATGTAAATGGCTGCGCACCAGGCTCAATTAAGGACATAGGTGGAAGCTGAGAATCAAAGTAAGCGGCAAGAAGAGACATCATTAGATTAGCGTCTGACGGTAAGTGACTGTCCCAATCTTTCCCTTGAAACTTTCCACCGGAATTCCAGCTGTACTCACTGATGCAACCACCTTTTGCAAGTTCCTTGATCCTAGAGACAACATATTCTTGGTTGGGTGAGATATCGAGGAACATAACAAGATTTGACAGGCTGGGAATGGACTGCACGATAGCTAAACTAGAGGCAGTTTTTTTCAAACGGTCGATACCAATATGACCAATGGTGATATCTGACAAGCCTTGAGCATGCAGAGCTGAGTTCACCGCATCAATTTCTTTGACCAATCGTTCTAGAATCGTTTGTGACAACCACATGCGCAAATTTGCTGTCCACTGTATGACAGAGGTCAGATCCACATTGTACAAATCCCACACATCATCATTGCGGTTCCGAGCTGAGCCAACATCATCTGATGCTGTGTTCCCAGAGGTCGGTAAGCTGGTTGCCGGAGCAAGCTGGTAAACAAATCGTTTGATGAGGGACGTTTCTTTGTTTTTCTGTCGGTACCAGAATGATGACAGCAGATTAGGGGAGGTCATTTCTAGTTTTGAGGACTTGTCTGCTTCGAAAGAATTGTTCAAATCATAGCTTTTCAAGTACCGAGTGAGTTCAGACTGGTCGCTGATCAAGTTGCTACTTGGCGAGCAGATGGGAGTTGAATGTCCGATGGATTTGGGTAGAGTTGCAGGGGAAGGAGTAAAGGAAAGATTCTGCCTGCTTTGACTGGTTGAGTTGAGGGTTGAGTAAGGTGAGAATGACTTACTTTGCGAAATCCAGCTATTTTTGGAAAGATTTATCGGAGTGAATGTTGAATCCAACGCTGTTTTGTCAGCCTTCTTCGGTGTTGACTCAGCATCTTTGAAGTACATGTCGTTCACAGACAGGCCGAGGAGTTTTCGCTGCGGTTGAGTAACGGTGACAGGAGTGGTAGTGCAACGAATGAAAATGTAGCGGCCGAAATGAAACAACGTATTGATGAAAAATGCTGCTGCAAATAGCCGCTCCAGAGAGTGTAAGAATTTAGGATAGAACGGGCACATGTACAGTCTGCAACGAAGAACGACAAGTGTAAATTTTTGCGGCATGAAAACAGTCAGTCAAGGATGAAGATTTGGCAACTTGGCGCACTCAAGACTCAATTAAACAGAAGAATAAACAAAAACTGATATCCGTGCATGAAACTGGGACCTGGGCTGGATAATCACAAGTACACATAGACTTGCAAGATTAAATGTTAGAAGTAATATTCCTCCATTAGCTGAGTGCTAGAATAAAGGTGGGTCAAAACTATTCTGCACGGAGATAAAGACCAAAAAATCCAAAAATTGCCTGAGAGAATGTTAAAAGGCCCTTGAAATGTGAAAGGAGAGAACATTTTCAAGGGTCAAAAATCAAAAGTAAAAGGAAGGTCATCACTCATGAAATTGGTAAAAAATCTTGTGGTAAACTGATGTGGAATATCTGGAAAGCCAGTGAGAAGATACATGAGAATGTGGAAGTTTGGAAGAATCTGTGCCGAATTTACCCCTGACAATGGGTAAAAAGTCAAATTCACCTTCTAGAAAATCAAGCACTTTCAAGGCCGTAAAAACCGTTTATTTCCTGGTCATTTTAGAGAGACAACAAACCTGCCATTAGTTTCGCTGCAAGTAGAACTTGCATCAGATTAAATGGCGATTTTATTTATGTTCCGTTGGCAAGGTTAATTCATATGACATTTACAATGAATGAGATGGAATTGAATGCAAAACTCACATATCGTAGCATAAAAATGTACAGAGAGCTGCATTCAAGAGGCCCCAGATGACATCACTCTTCATTTGTTTTTTTCTTCGATTGATTTCAGATACTTTTTGGTTCAAGTCTGATATGCTATCCACACGGTTTGGACTCCGCTCTTGGAATCTTGTCGGCTTAGTGCCACGCATCCTTGGAGAGGACATTATTCCCCTTATCTGTAATAAAAAACAGGAGGCCGGAGCAAAATTAGTACCGAGTAGTTAAGAACTAAACACTCATTGCGCGTCGCTCCTGTGGGCACAGAAAAATTCAAGCAGAATCTACAAAATTCAAGTTGAAGTCTGATCTAAAAATGCGCACTCATAGTAAGCTAGGTTGGAGACAAGTCCAAGTGTGGTCTGAGAGTATAGGAAAGTGTATTCGTGCAACGAGTGTATTCTGCAGAGACACTTTTACTTCAGTTCTCATTACAATCAGGTTTTAATATTCAGATGTCATTTACAATACAAATCTAATAACTTCTGACGGTATGTTGGAGTTTTATAGTCAGCAAGCATTAAATTCAGCATAAAGCTGATATTCACTACAGAGGAAAAAAGCTCACACACAAGCACAATTTTTCCTCAAAGAGATACGCTGTTTGGTGCAACACTAGTAACGACCATTCAGGAAGGCAACTGCAGACGCGTTTTGGCCTTATTGGGCCAATCCTCCTTACAGTGCAGCCTCCTGAATTTTCTGCTACCAAGCTCAGAGAGGTCGTAAAAGCCAGCCCGAGACTTGGGCAAGCGGTTGCCGGCTGCAAGTAAACTTCCGCCATCTAGTGAGCGATTATCCGAACAGCTCCGCATATGCCTTGGCAAAGCGGTTCTACACAAACTGATTGCGGTGGACGCACGAGTCGTAAGATGGTATGATGGAGTTATTTAGTCAACGTGCGTTAAATTCAGCATAAAGCTGATTCCTTTATCATCTTTACAATGAATTTAACGCGTGTTGGCTAAAAAACTACGACATACCGTCTTACGACTCATGCGTCCACCGCAATCAGTTGTGTAATAACTTCTGGTGCTTTTTAACAGCATTGAAGTCAACCTGTATCAAATTGTGTTTGCTTGTTGCCACTGCATTCAAACGAGTATTTGTAACATGCATATCTTGGTTATGATTATAAAATATCGTCACCTTTCAGTCAAAGTATCATGAGCACCATGCGATGTTTAAAAATTTCTATTCCACTTTTTTTCTACAGAGAAATTGATGGTTAGATCTGTTTGAAATTTCACTGAATTCAGTGAAATTTTTGGACAGCTTCAATTAACAACTTTTCTGTAAAAAAATCAACTGGCAGCACAAATTTTTGAACGTCGCATGAAGCTTGTGATACTTTGGCCGGAAGGTGATGATATGAATTCGATCCATATTGGAATATTTGTACCAATATAGCTATTTAGCAAATAGAATTTCCCTAGGTCCATTTCTATTACCTCTGGTTTTAAACCTCTTGTAACTTAAAGCAGAACTTTTACACAAAGTACTTGTATAGATTCTCCAGCTCGTAAAATTCACTTCCAAGTTCAGATAACATTTGCGGGTCCTGAAAAGACACTTCGGATTAAAGCATCTTTATCTCTGGTTGAAATTTAACAGTCACCTACAGTGCTTGTTAATTTCTAACCAGGAGATAAACCCGTACCAAGGGGTGATAAAACTGGGTCTCCCTTAATTTTGAATGGTAAGAGGGGACAATGTGATACTTGAGGTGATTCGTCAAGCTCAAGTGACGTGGTCGAACTTGCATGCGATATATCGCATCTTTTAGGTAAAAAATCTCGGCAGATTTTGAATTTACAGCAAAAAAAGGACAATAGCCCCTGCGCATGAGCCGAAAGAATCATTCTAAACCCAAAAATCGGCAAAATTCAGAGAAATGAAAGCAGAATAGTGTTTGGAAAAAAACCTCGCATTCGATACAGAAATCGATAGCTGAATCGAATGCGAGGTTTTTTTCCAAACACTATCCTGCATTAATTTCTCTGAATTTTGCCAATTTTTGGGTTAAGAATGATTCTTTCGGCTCATGCGCAGGAGCTGTCGTCCTATTTTTCCTGAAAATTCAAAATCTGCCGAGATTTTTGACCTAAAAGATGCGATATATCGCATGCCAGTTCGACCTCTTCTTTTGAGCTTGACGAATCACCTTAAGAGCTTTCAATGCACACACCATCAAAGAGCAATGATGGGATGTGTGTTGGAATTTTCATCAAACGTTGAATGTAAAGTAGTATTATAAAAGAGACATATAAGTGAGATAAGAGTAAAGTAAAACTCATGTAAAACTCACATGCTGAGAAGTTCGAGTTCAGTGAAGAGATATCCTATCTAAACTGATCGCAAACTGAGAGAAGCATTCAGAATATGAAAAGTTGTGCTTATATACCTGAATTTCATGCGGAAAGGATATTAAGCATAGAATAGAAGATGATTAAAAAGGAAGAATGAGAACAGTTGAGAAATGGAAAACTCCGTGAGATGAATGCCGGCACCGTCGTGTCTAAAGGAGGTTAGGTACTTGTTTACGTTCACTCCCATTGGTTCAGTATTCCCGCCATTCTTTGCCGGGACCGGGAGGGACGGGAAGATTTTGATTTCGCGACGACTGTCTGGTGTATGTCAAGTTCTCTTTAGTTGCGTGGTGTGTATTTGTGAGGATCTGGTTTTGGGGAAACGAAATTCAGACGTGATTCGACGTGATTAGATTCTAAATACGACTCCTTTCCTCAGATGTGCAGAGCCGTTCGTTGATCGCAAGCAGCCAACTATCATACACATACATGTAAGTATTGTGTCTAAAATTTATCTCGTGTTAAGTCTACAAAAGGAATACGTTTCCCTGAAAATGAACTGCAGGTTGATAACCATAGAAAAAGTTGACAGTCGCGATTATGCAGATTTTTGGACAGTCGATTCAATCTGGCCATTAACAGTTGATTTGACTTGGCTGGACTTGTCCATCCTCAGATGATTTGACCAGTGAATGAATAGGTAGACAATTCTTGATAGGTACTTACTTCCATTAGTACCTACCTAGCCGGAAGTTCTTTATACCTCCACTAAATATGAGACTGCGCACCCGACGCTGTAACTTTCGTGCTCAATCAGAAAGTGTTTTCGTCGATCAGTTGATATGACCGGAAATTCTGTATACTTCCGGTAAATATTCATCTGACACTGTACTCGAATTTGCGAAATTTGAGCTGTTGATGCGATGACTGTCGACTCTCATATTCAGCTGCCGAAGTCAGAGTGTGATTCCTGTCATTTTGCGCGGAAGCAGAGAGTGTTTTCGTCGATTAGCTGGATTGCATTTTGCAAAAAGGAACCACTAGCATTGCAATGTTGCTAAGATTGTGCAATTTCTTTTGTCTTGGAGGAAAAACCTGATTATCCATTAATAGTTTCTATTTTACTCGATAAAAACTTTGAATTTAAGACAAAAATTACCCTATAAATTTCATAGTTTTTTACGATTTTCACAATTTTATTGCAAAGGATGAAGTTGCACAATCTTAGCATCATTGCAATGCTAGTGGTTCCTTTTTGCAAAATGCAATCCAGCTAATGTAACCGGAAACGCTGGATACTTTAATTCCGGTACCTAAATCGACGGCGTAAAGCCGCAATCAGACGCTGAATTTAGCAGCTGAATGTGGAAGTCAACAGTCATCGCCCAACGGCTGAAATTTAGCAAATTCGAGTTATTTTCATACAGATGTGTATCAAATTTACTCGAATAGTTCAAACAAATTCAAAATTGGTCCGATGGTTGCTGAATTTTGCGGGTCACGCGCAAAATTCAGGCATTGGGCCGATGACTTCCACATTCAAGCCACATTCAGCTCCCACATTCAGCGTGTGATTGCGGTGTATGTCCGCAATCACATATCTCGTTAGCGGTGTCTGAAAATTTCCGCCTCTATGTTACTTTTTCAGGGGAGAACAAATTGACATCATGCCTTGAAGTTTGTGCAGAATTTTCTTTGCACCAAGAAGAAAAATTACGGCCGTTTCCGTTTAAAAGCACAGAGTCAAAACGCCTTCAATTTTGTGAACGCAATACGGACATACGTCGAGGTTGCATAGTTGTATCAAGGCGCCGTAGCGAACGCGTCCCATTCAGTGGCGTGGCGTGCTTTGCGATATATCGATTGTCATGCCATTTAAACCCATGGAAAAGGATCGATAAACAGGGTGTTCGCAGCAAACGCCTTAATAATCGATTCTTTACCATAGGTTTAAATGGCATAACAGTCGATATATCGCAATTCACGCCACGCTACTGGACCCATTGTTTATCGTTACAGACGAATATAAGTTGAGAGAGGGCAGTCGTAATGCCCTCAATTTTCTGGATACATATTTTCGGGCAAAATGAGAGACGACGTTTATCCATTTGCGACGTTGCAGACTTTCTTAGAAATTCTAATTTTCTTTTGAGAAGCTGGTCAACATAAAACTTAAATTCTCCATGATTTTTCGTATTCGATAGCAGAGGATTTGGTTCAAAATTTAACGTCGTAAATTTGGATAGTTTCTCATGGGAGATATGAAATAAGATCGGAAATTTTGAAACACCGCAATGGGTATACGTGGTTTCCCACTTCAGTAGGTGCGATACGGACATCCATCAAGTTTAAATATAGTTGCATCAAGTCCCCGTCACCGCCGACCAACGCGTCTGTCGATCGAATCAACTTTTTTGAACTTTACCGTCGGTGTTGAGAAAATTGAGAGAACGTGTAACTGCACACACGCGTTAGAGTGCAATTTCAGCCGTAATCGTTATCTTATGCCATCAGGTCGAAGTGACGAGGCGAAGCAAAGACGTTCGGAGCAACTATTCCACCACAAAGGTATTGCACAGTATCAAACTTAATTGAAGGCGCACTAACGTATGCGAATTGACGGCTATCGTTTACCATTGTGTGAAGCCCCGCTGGTCTGAGGCTAAGCTGCTCCCGTTCGATCAATTTTTGTGGAACTTGACGCATGTGAAATTTTTGACGGGTAACTTAAATTTTAACTCAAATTTTATTAATTTGAAAATATAAGATGGTGAATATAGACTAAAATTCTATCTCGTCTCTTGTTCGATCAATCTTTGTGATTGTTGGCGCCAGGGGGTATTTATTTTACGTAAAAGTCGAATTTTCAATATTCAAACCCTGGTAAAAATTGGCAGTAGAATCTGTGTTCCAAAATACCATAGACCCACAGCCGGCTGTAAGATTTTCAATAGCTTATATAGCAGGCAACACAATTTCTTATAGCCTTTTATAGCCGATGGCGATTAAGCAACAGCCTAGCGATAAAGTGTATGCTAAACGTTACTAATTACGGATGCTAGGATTTAGTGAGTTTTTGGACTACCGCTCTCTTTTTGGGCCGCAGTATCTTGATTTAATTTGTGAGGAAAGCTCCGTATTTTTGAAGGATGCCTGCCATTCCTAATGTGTTGGAGCGCCTTCAATTTCGTATGATACTGTGCAATACCTCTGATGTAAAATAGTTGCTTCAAGCGCCGCGGTACGCTGCAGCGCGGCGCGGCGCGGCGGGCGGGAAGCCGCAGCGCTGAACGCGCATTGGCGCCTACGAACCTAACAGGGATACTTCACGCATTGCGCAATGCGTGAAGTTTCCCTGTTAGGTTTGTAGTCGCCAGTGCGCCACCGCTCCGCTTTGTGTTAGGCTCTAATATTTAATCTCGCGGAGTCAGCGTTTTTCAACTCATGACTTTGAAATGTTTGGACATTCTGTATGGATTATTCTCATTTTAATTGATGAAAAAAAATATGTAGTAAAGGAAAATATAATGTGCGTTTGGTAAATATTAAGGTGATTCCGTACAAACTTAAGGATTTACAAAGCACAAGAATTTCTACACTGTTTCTTATAGCCTTTTATAGCCGTTGGCGAAAAAGCAACAGCCAGGCGATAAAGTGTAAAGTCCGGCGATAGGAACTATAGCCCGGCTGTATGATTTTTTTATCGCTTCGTGTAGCCGGTGTAGCCCAGCCGTATGATTTTTTCCACTTTCTACAGCCAGCTATATGATTTTCTATCGCCCTCTTTAGTCGGCTGTAAGAACTCCTATGGTATTTTGAAACGCAGCTCTTATCGCCAATTTTTACCGGGGAAAATAAAAAATGGCAAAAAATAACCTAAAACGCTATCTTCACACCTTCGAAAATACCCAACTTTGCAATCGAGATATCTTTTATTTTTCTGTTCCGTCTCAAAATCGATGCACTCTCGGCTAATCTGGATCTCGATACTGGCAAGCTCCTCAATTTTCTTGTGATGAATCTGCCTGTTTATTTATTCATTTATTTATTTTTCGTTTCCTATATCTTCCTTGCTTCCTAATTTGATCGTTCGGAGTAACATAAACGAAGTTCATAATATTTACATCACAAGTGCAAATGCGAGCTAATAATCGCATTGTTTGTCAGCCGGTTGGACTGCATTATGCAATTTGCAGCTATAAATTCTGGCTCATCTGAAAAAACACTTATGTGTATAGGAAAACTAATGGCACATACGTTGTTTTTAAACCGGCGAAAAATTTATTGGTCCAAATTGCAAAATGTAGTCCAGTTGTCTTTGTCGCTTTTTCAACTCTTTTGACCCGTTTAATTCAAATGCTATATACTTCGGATCCACTTTTACTCGTCCGAAGGTTCCCACTCATACTTCTTTTTCTCTTTGTAACGAAAACATACTTAAATAGACTTGAATGAACCATCAAATAATACTCCTCGTCTTGTCTCGGAAATATTACAGCAGATTTTAACGTGAAAATATTGGTTTACCCGGTGAAAAACTTGCAACGTCGCAAATTGAGGTATGCAAGTTTGTAATCTCACCGTCGGGATGAAATAATGTGGAACTGCGCTCGCGCTAGAGTGTAATTTCAGCGGTAATCGTTATCTTCTGCCATCAAATCGAAGCGACACTGTTGTAAGCGCTCTGAGCAACTATTCCGCCACAGATGTATTGCACAGTATCAAGCGTAATTGAAGGCGCTTTGACGCGGCGGAAACACTCTCTGCCTTTGCTTGCGCGTATAGGTGTAAAGGTGTAAATGGTAAGCCCATGTTTACCGTATTGCGTAGTCGGACACGTTCCGCTAACTTGTGTAAGTCAGGTAGTAGTACTGCATAATCAAAATTCACCGTCTGATAATTTAAAAGGCAAATTACAAATTTACATACTGATGGCAGGACAACTATTTGAATCCTGAATAAAGGATTGTGTCCTGTCAGATTTGGTTTTTTCTTCTCTCTCTTTTTTATATATATCTTTTTTACTCGTCACTTTTTAGAAAGTGAGGCAGGTCGAAATTTTGGCCGTTCTGTAAAGCAAAAACCGCCGGAAAGCGGCAAGAGTTCGACGTTTTGGAACTTTCTGCACTCCTAGTAGGACTTTGTAGATAGGATGGATCATTTGGACGTATTTATATCAAACGGAACTATGTGCATTAAGAC